TTCTAGTTCAGTTCTAGTTCAGTTCTAGTTCAGTTCTAGTTCAGTTCTAGTTCAGTTCTAGTTCAGTTCTAGTTCAGTTCTAGTTCAGTTCTAGTCAGTTCTAGTTCAGTTCTAGTTCAGTTCTAGTTCAGTTCTAGTTCAGTTCTAGTTCAGTTCTAGTTCAGTTCTAGTTCAGTTCTAGTTCAGTTCTAGTTCAGTTCTAGTTCAGTTCTAGTTCAGTTCTAGTTAGTTCAGTTCTACTTCTACTTCAGTTCTAGTTCAGTTCTAGTTCTAGTTCAGTTCTAGTTCAGTTCAGTTCGTTCTAGTTCAGTTCTAGTTCAGTTCTAATTCAGTTCTAATTCAGTTCTAGTTCAGTTCTAGTTCAGTTCTAGTTCAGTTCTAGTTCAGTTCTAGTTCAGTTCTAGTTCAGTTCTAGTTCAGTTCTAGTTCAGTTCTAGTTCAGTTCTAGTTCAGTTCTAGTTCAGCTCTAGTTCAGTCAAACTTAACATTGTTATATCAATTATCTTTAAGCTTAGACCCACTGTAACCTAATGACTATTTAAATATCATTCAAATAACATTATAGAATTGACCAGCATTTTTCTTGAAACAAATACACAAATCAATCCTTCACCCTAAAGTTAATGCAAATGAATCTTCTTATTTTGAGCGTTGAGGAGTTTAATTTAAATACAACAGAAAAAAGAAATGGCAGAAAACACAAAACAGAATTTCGACAATGATAACGAACCCTTTCAACTGACAAATTGCAGTTAGAATGATATTGATGTCTCCTTCAATATTCAAACATACATTATTTATGTACATACATACATATGTTTTTAAATTGGAATTTTTCAAACTATTGATTTGATTAACAATTGAAATCCATATACAGGGAAAGATTTGTAAATTATGTAGATTTTTTGGTCTTATTTTTCGAGTTCTTACATTATGCTATTACGACTGTTGGCGACAGCTTTCATTAATTGAAAAATTGTATCTTGGTGGCAGTTATACAATATTTTTTCTCTCTTTCTCTCTACATATTTGCGGTAACATCAAGTTGAAAATGACGAATGAATGTATAGATTCTTGGTTAGTTTGTTGCAGGAAAATAGAGAACTAATTTAGCCATGAAGGTTTAGTGGTTGTCACTGTATTCACATTTATACTTACTACTGCATTGAGTTTTTCCTTTTAATATGAGTTGCTGCAATCAAAACATTAGTTTCTATTTAGTTAAAATAAGAAAAACTTATAAAAACAACTTGATGAGAAAAAAAAACATTAAAAAGTTATTGAGACTAATTGATATTTTTTAGTGCTTTTTGCTGCTTGAATTTCAAAATAAGAAAGTCATTATTGAACATATGTCAATAGCCAAAGAAATATACAAAAGAAGAAAACTATTTTCTAAGAGCGGGAAAGTTTTTTGTTTACAAGTAATTTAGCTAATTAATAAAAAAACTACGTTAAGAAAACTTTTTCATGTTAAATAATTATATTGGGTATACGTTTTACGGAACTTTGACAATTAATATCAATCATACGTCTTGTAACTGAAAAATTATGATGTTTATTTTATATTTAAATATAATAACACTTATACGCTATAGTACTTCCTGTAGACCCAAAATATACATAAAACAAATTGATTAAGTCATTTCACTATAACTATTGTAATAGAAAATTCTTAATAGATTTTCTTAGATCCATACACTTTGTATTCTATCACTGTATTGCCCAGTGTTAACTATGTTAATTAAAATATTTTCAAACCCCCTTTCATAAATAACTCATAACAAGTATTTTTACAAATTAAGTTTATTACCCATTAGATAATTTGCATTTAACAAACTCAAACAAATTTTTTTTTTATTATTGCAAAATGAATAACACCTTTCTTTTACACAATTACAAACAAATTCATTGAGGCGTTCAATGCCTTTTAGACATTTGCTCAAATCCATTTGACAGTTTAATGAATTTCTTTCAGAGATTATCAACAAGTTTCTTATGAAATCAACTGGTAATCAACAGTTTTGTTTTGTTATTCCTTTTTATATGTCATCTTAAAATATGTATATGTACGCATTTATTTCCACGTAAGAGCGGTTGGTAAATTATTTTTCTTTTAGATTTCTAAAACATTATCCATCTATTAGAATAATGAAAGGGCTGTAATAACATCTCTACTTTTTTTTCAAACTTATATTTATTATCTGTGAACAAAACAATTTTTATTTTTGTTATTGAAAAGAAAGACCCGCCATTTTTTTATATTCACATAAGAAAATTAAAAAAAAAATAGAGGGAAAACACGTAAAAAAAAGGAAATGGCAATATAACACAGGGAGAAAAAAAAGAAAGAAACCACGTAAGAAATAAATTTTAAATCTCAGAAGGTCACACTACTAAACAATTCTGCAAGGATTATTTTCACGTGTTTGGAAGTCTGCGTTTTCCTTTGGACACCTTTACGAGATGTTCAAATGCAGATATGTTTTACACATACATATATACAAACCAGAGATGGAAATTTTATTTACATTGTACTTTATTCTGTACATTTGGTCATCGAAAAAAATATCGCTGCAATCTCGGAAAGCTCATAGCCCTAGTAAATTGACTTATATATATTCATACTAGTTCACAAACTAGTCAAGAGATTAGTCCAAGTATTAGTCCACAGAATAAAGTATTCAATAGAGTAATCAAGAGGTTAATGCATAGTATAATCAAGATACTGGATCATAACTAGCCGAGAAACTGATCGATAGACTATGCCATAGACTAGGCCATAGACTTTCGATAGTTAGTCCATAGGCTAATTAAAAGAGTAGTCAAGAGCCTAGTCTAGCCTGTCAAGACCTTAGTTCATAGACTAGTCAAGAGACAGGTATAGTCAGTGGGCTCCAAGGGTCTGATCTAGCCTGTTGTCCAGTCTCTAGACTAGTCAAGAGACTAATTCATGGACTAGTCAAAAGATTAGTCAATAGACAGGACCATAGACTAGTCAATAGCTAATCCATAGGCCAGTTAAAAGACTAGGCTATGGACTAGCAAGCGACCTCCATAGACTAATAACGAGACTATTCTAGCCTGCTGATTAGTCTCTAGACTAGTCAAGAGGCCAATTCATAGACTAGTCAATAAACTAGTGGATAGACTAGTCAAAAGCTAGACCATAGACCAGTTAAAAGATAAGGCTGTGGGCTCAAACGACGTCCATAGACTAGTCAAGGCTAGTCAATAGCTAGACCATGGACCAGTTAAAAGACAAGGCTGTGGGCTCAAACGGCATCCATAGACTAGTCAAGAGACGTGTTCATAGGCTAGTGAAGAGACGTGTTCAAGAGAATAGTCCGTAGAATAGTCGAGACTGATTATATAGACCAGGCTTTTACTTAATTCATACGCTAGTCAATATCTAGTACATAGGTCCATAGATTAGTCTGTAGTCTAGTCCATTAACTAGTCAAACAAGTAGTACAAAGTTTAGTCAATCTACCTACTAATACATAAGTCCAGAGACTAGATAGACTTCTCTGTACACGGTTACATAGATTAATACACAGATTAGTTCAAAAACTAGTCGATAAACTATACTACAGTATAGTCAACAGACTAATCACAGATAAACTAGTCCATAATCAATATATTTAAAGTATAGTCCATAGATTAGTCTGTAGTCTAGTCCATTAACGAGTCAAAAGACTAGTACAAAGTTTAGTCAACGTACCTACTAATACATAAGTCCAGAGACTAGATAGACTTCTCTGTACACGGTTACATAGATTAATACACAGATTAGTTCAAAAACTAGTCTATAAAGTATACTAGACTGTAGACCACTAATTAGATTTAAAAAAACCGATATGGACCTAATTAAGTAATTCATATTAAAACAATTTTCCTCATTTAAAAATTTCAATTTTCCATGCCTGATACAAACGCACTTTACCTCTCCTCTCACTTACTCTTTAAGCCCAAATTCTAAAAAAAAACACTCTCTTTACTTTACTATTGTATTAGTGTAAACATTTCTCTCAATACGATATTTAAGATAACAGGACTTTTTACGATATAAAACGAAGTAAGCAAAATCGCATACAACATTCCAACAGTTGTTTATAACAACAACTATAAATTCATATACATTACAACACACACCGATACATCTCAACACTAACACACACACGTATGTATATACAAAACATGTCCTTGCAGACTAAAGTAACCAACGAATATATTTATTTTGAATTCACATTCAAAACAAAAACACTTTGAGCAACAGTCCTTATTTGTCTGTCAAACTGTTTAAACGTGTCTTTTTGGGGATTCTCCGCTGGCAAGTCGAATTATTTAAATAAATTTCTGTTAGTAAAAGTAAAAAATAAAAACTTGATAAAACATTAAGCAAAAAAAAATAATTCAAAAGTGCAAGTGAATTTTAAGAAATTTTCATAAACCAAATTTTTAATTAAAAATATTTTTTTTATTAAAATATAATTTTTTTTTTATATAAAAAAACTGTTTAATTAAATTTTATTTTTTCTAAAAAAATAATAAAAAAAAGTGTTCAGTGAATCTTAATTCTTTTTTTAACATTGTTGATGCCTTCTTTTTTGTACATTGTCGTAATGTTGTCGTTGGCGGAAATTGTGCCTGATTTGTTAAACGGAAACGGAAATCGAAACATTTTCGAAATTATTTACTAAAGGAAACATACAACAATTTGATTTGTACGTGTAAATCAAAATAAGGTGCAAAGTCACATATAACCGTCTTTTTTTGAAACCTTAAAATTAGAAAAGAAAACGAAGGAAAAATATATAAAAAGTGTCATTGCCGAAAATTTAACTACAAGTTTTAATTTAACTATCATTTAAATTTTCTTTTTATTAAAAAAAACAAAATGTGATAAATATTGCTTAATTTTCTTTAAAGCTTGCGTTACTATAAATAAGTGAAATACATATAAATAAAATAAAAAAAAGTGAATTTTATCGATTATCGAACATTTTATGCTTCATGCAACAGCAACAACAAAAACTAGAACAATAATAGCAACTTAGACAGCATCTGTAGCAGCAGGCACCACAACAACAACAACAGGTACATAATAAATATTTACAAATTAAAAACACCTGTTCTATAACGTTATCATTCAATTAAACCATTAATTGATCAATGCGTGTGTGTATCTGTTTATTGATGCCTACAATTAATACAAATACATACATACGTAGTTTATATGTATGTGTTTATATTTGTAGGCTTTATTTGTAGCAAATATGCAAAAAAATATATGAAAAATATTTTATCAAAGTATAAAAGTGATGGCAATGAATTTTATTGAGGCTTTCAAAGGATTACACAATAGTGAGTGCTAGTAGTTTATTCAACATGTGTACATAGAGATATTTATTTAAAAAATAAGTTTTTTTAATGTTTTATAAAAAGTAAATCTATATAAGTATTTTAAAGCCATTTCATTTTCACAATGCACTATGGGTTAAAATTCTTGACTGTTTTGCTAAATATGCAAGTTTTACTTTTTAATTACAACCGCAAATTCCGATTTTCTGCAGATAAGAGTTATTTTAACCTTTTAATGTTAAATCAACTTAATAGTAACTTAAATTAAATAATTAAATTCCAAGTGAAATAATTTGCCAGAATAACCACATTATAGTACCGTCTTAAAATTTATATAGACACTGCGATATACTTACAAATAGGCAGTTAAATAAGTCATTACAACGCTAGCTTACAAATACCTAATTGAGTAAGTTATTTTGTTTTACCTAAACAAATAATCGACAATAATTCCAACCTGGATTGCTCACTGCTTAGTTATTTCATTGTACGTCAACTAAGGTTTTTCATTACTAGACTACTTACAAGTAAGTAAGTGTTCAAATATTGACTTCCTACGTCTTATTTGACTCCATTGCATTTTTATTAGTCACTCTCTATTTAATTCAGTTTTTCCGAGTAGGTTGAATTAATAATTATACCCTACACCACTTTAGCGGGGAGGGTATATTGGGTTTGTGCTGATGTTTGGTGCTATACCCACCTTAAAGTATACCAATCGGCTTAGAATCGATTTAGCAATGTCCGTCTGTCTGTATGTCCGTCCTGTCTGTCTGTCTGTCTGTCTGTCTGTCTGTCTGTCTGTCTGTCTGTTCGTCCATGTAAACCTTGTAATCAAACTACTGGTCGCATTTTTGAATATAATTCAATGAAATTTGGTACATGATCTTCTATTGCCTCAGTGACGAAGCCTATTGAAAATCGGTCCAATATTTCACATAGCCCGACTAGGGTTTTTAAGTTTTTAATTATGTTTAATATAAAAAAACTGCTTAACCAAGCTTTATACTAGCCTTCTTGACCCTGATGAATATTTTGATGATATTGCTTTATTTGAACCTAGATTCTATACAAAGCCATCTTCGAAATATGACTTAAATGTATACAATTTTATTCAACAAATAATGGCTAAAGTATATCTAAGACAAGGTACAATTCAACTTAAATGCTTTATTATGAACACTAAATCACATTTTATTTTTATAACTGGTGAAGGGTATTATACGGTCGGCCTCGCCTGACTATAACTTCTTACTTGTTTTCTAATCATATAGGATCAGTAATATGGATCAATTAGTTTTTAATGTCGGGTGAACGAACATTTTATTCTAGTTACTTTCAAAATAAAACAACTTTCGTACTTTCAACATACAAAGGAAAATAGGGACTAACATAAAAAATTCAGAATTAATTGCATATTACTTCGAACCTGAGTTAGACACTTTAGCGCCCTAGCTTTCGTTTGGGCCCAACCATGGGCAACAACAGACAGACATATTTAAATATCTATAAAATAGCCATCTATGATTAAAAGTGAAAATTTTAAAAGCAAATGTTTCGTATAATTGAAGGTTCTTGGTTTCTGTTTCCAAATAATAACGATTTAAGAGAAGGATCCGAGATGTCAGATGTACCTCATAGAAATTTACGACAAATTAAAAAGTGTATAGCTGCTGAGAAAACATACACTTATTTGTCACGATCGGTCTTTAGATGGCGACGTTATATACAAAAACGAAAAAGGGCGGTATTTGTAGGTGTGACAAAAAAATAATTTTTATACTTTTCTTCAATTTTCTTTTCTTCGACCCGTCCTAATGATTTGAATCTCAAAAATATAGTTTTAAACAACAAAAAAACGGACGGACGGACATGTTAGGTTAATAGTATCTATATCAAATCCAAAGAAATACAACTGGGTCACCCTCCATTCATGGAAAATGTTTGTTGGTAGAAACAAAAACTTTATACAGTATTCACTGTATTCACGGATGGACAAACGGACAGGTTACGTTGATAGTATCAACATCAAATACAAAGAAATACACCAATGTCACTATCGCGCTAACAAGGTGGTAAGCTCACAATCCATTGTCAATAGTGAGCTTACCACGTTTGTTAACTTTTAGACAACGGATGTGTATAAAATTTATATTGCGACAACAAATTGTTGCAATGTTGACAACGTTGCGTTGTCAACATTGCATAGTGTTGTCGTATGTAAGTATATACTAGACAACGGATGTTATTAAAAAATTTGGTGTCAATTTGAATAATCAGACTCTCAGTTTCCTGGACGTAATTTCTAAGAATTTCAAAGTTTATGAGGGATGTTATATTCGGAATAATTTACTCCCAAGATACTGACAATGTCAAAGAAAGAGCTCCAGAGTTTCTCTGTCCTCTCTACATGCTCTACGTTCATCTGAATCCACACATTAAATTTTGTATAACTGTAACCTCACACTTGCTTATTTTGAGGAGGCTTCTCGTCCTCCTCCCATTAGGGTCATTCCATAGGATTTTTATGGATCTATTCCAAGGCCTTATGGGTTTCCCTTACACATGTTTTTAATACCTATCGGCATCAAATGGTTTTGCTTTCAACAGTTTAACTACCTCGAGCTCCCCTCCCCTTTAAAGCTATTTCATTCGCTCTATCTAGTACTCCCGAGCGGCCTGGTACCTATATGATGTAAACCTTAACTCTAAACCAAACCAATATGATCTCAGATTTTACGTTATCACCTGATATCGCCCTAATACCTTCTGACAAAAAAAGGGGCGTGGTAAACCAATTATAAGCACTAGCTGCTGTATCAGAAAGCGTTAACAAATTTTCACAAAATATCTCTATATAATCGTAAACATCTGTTTTCAAGCAACTTTAATTGTTCCTTAAACTCTAACTTCCTTGTTTTTCTCAAAAAAAATAACACTGTTTATGCAATTTCATCACGTATCATTAAATAATAGCAGCTTTAGTAACTAAAAAGAAACCAAAAAATATGTATCTAAAAAAAAGTACTTTGCATACTTTTGGGTCATTATTATGTGGCTGAAAAGATTAAAGCGTATTTGCACAATTAAACCATAAAAATCTATTAATAAGCTTTCATTACATAAATAATTTATTAAATGGTTGCGAGAAAATATAAAAAAAGAAAAATTCCACAAAATTAGGTTTTATGACAAAATTTTTTTCGTCGCAAACAAGAAGGAAACAAATGTGGTTTTAAATTGTATTAAAAGAAAACGTTTAATGAAAAAAACGCAAGAATATAAATTTTTTATAATTAGATTTTACTAACGTTTTCTTAAAAAATGTATTTACAGAAGAAAGCACTTAAGAAACATTTCTAAGACCTTGAAGAGATATTAAATGAGAATGTTTACAAAGCCCAGAAATAATACACAGACTTTAAAAAACACTGATCGACTCAAATTAAGCCCTTTATACGATTTAACAATGTACCTCCATCTTGTCAAAGTATAGCTTACAACATTTAAGATAATAAAATAAAATTTGTCACAAAAGTTGCTTGCGTCCCAAGGACTAAAGAAATTGTTTAAAATTGGATCAGAACCCGTTTAAAGTTCGGTTAATACTTGATATTGTTGAAATCTAAGAAATAATTACAAAATTAAAAATTTCTTAAAAATTAACAAACAATATACACAAGTTTATTAAAAACTCAGTTCAACTTTTAATTGTATTTTTAAAACGAACAAGAATTACTAACGGAATACAAATTTCAACAATTTTTACTTTTATATATAAAAGTACATTTTCACACCTTTATATTTTCTTGATTGCTTTGGGGAATTATAGACTATACAATAGCAACCGCAAAAAAGGGGTGAGCAACTCACCGACAAATGGTCAATGCAACAAAACACGTGTCAACCGAAACAACAATTTTCATAATTTCAAAATTTACCCTTTTTCTTTTATGTTTCGCACAAAGTCTACCTCTAGAAAGGAGAAACTAATTCTTAAAACAGCCTTATTTATTAAATTAACAAATTTGCACAAAAAACTTCTTCACCTCTACTGTATTTTGTAGGCGATTTATAGTCAAATGAAAAATGTGACAAGAAAATTTTAAATACTTTTTTCTTTTCTTTTGGAAAAGTAAAATATTCATAAGAAGACTTTTCACTGATTACATGTTATTTTGAGGTTGTTTTTGTTGGGTTTTTTACAACGTGTAACATTGAAAATTCATAACCATGTCTGATGTCATGGGAGGCATCTAATTTTAAGTTTTTCATATGTAAATTAAGCCAAATCATGATAAATATTCTATGTTAACTGTAAATAAAAAAGGATACACACTTTGTAAAACTCACACTCTCACAGTTTCCCACACAACTATGAAAATTCACACACACATTTATGAAAATAGAGACACAGGCCTTTATTATCGAGCGTTTTTCAAAATCTAATTATTGATTAATGGCAATTTGTTGAAAATGTCTAAAAAACCAGAAGCAAAATGCTGAAAAAGTGGAAAATATTATAACGCACATTACAGCAGATACTGCGGCAAAAAATTCATCCAAGTGGATAATAATAAAACAAACCGCTGTAAATTAACGGAAAAACTGCCTTTGAAATTAGGTTTTCCATTAATGAGAATTTCTATTTTATTGTTGGATTGTGAGTCTTGTGATAGAAAATAGATAGGAAAAATGTATTAAAAAATTTAAAACTTTTAGATTCAATAAAATAT